TTAAATGAGTAAAAAACTTCACAAAAAAAAATCTTTAAGATTTAAAAATATTATTCTTTCAAGAACCATACCTACGTACCATGATAAAACCATTTGAGTCTTTTCTACGGTTTTATCATAACATTTAATTCTATATTTGCAATCCTTGTTCTTGCGGGAAATTCCATTGCGACCCAGTTCATTATACCTTTATAGAATATTTAATAAGAAATTTAAGCACAGATATATTTAGTTCTTGAAGGTTCGGATCATTATAGGTTACGAATTCATAGATTTATTTTGTGAACATAAAAAATACTAAATAGGTATTTTGTTACGTAAGTTATTTCTTACGTTATGATGCTGCACAACCCATATAATTTAACGTTTCTCCACTAACTTCTGGCTCTGAAGAACATAACTAATAACAAAGATCAAAGTTGAATAATGGTAGAGGTAAATAAAATATCTAGTAATTATTATACAATGTCGGTATTACAGAATGACAACTAAGTGTTGATCTTTACTTGAGTACAGCTAGAAAGGGATGTCGCTATTTGCTATAAATAGCGACATCCCTTCCTAACTATGCTCAAGAGTAGATCAACCACTGAGAATCTTTATATAATACGGGCCTAAGACTCACCTAGGTGACTAGTGATCAAATGGCTGCTTTCTTGGTCAGCGGATCAGCCTTGCTATACAACGTGGTTAAGCTAGCAGCCTATTGGGCAGCATACCGGCGGCGCTGGGGCTGATATAGAATAGAATAGAATAATCTTTATTTGCATTAAATAGGGTTGACAAAAGGTGTTTGTATATAAAGCATATGTTAAAAGCTAAGAATCTTAAACCTATTTAGCCATATTAATAGCATGCAAAAAAATCTAATATATTAAAACATAACAGTCATATTAAATTAACCCATCATTCATTTAATAGCAAGTATTTTATCATTATAATTTAAATTCAAGTTTATGTCAATATTACAATTCTCAATGTCAGTTCAAAATAAAAATATTTTATGTCAATTTAGTGTGATGTACTTATAATAACATGATAATTTAAGAGTATTATTCAATTCAATGTCAATATTAATTACGATTCCTGATGTCAATTCAAAGTAATATTCATATCAATATATTATATGCATTCAAAATAAAATTAATCCAAAATCGACATACATTTCAATATTCAGGACTTATTTTTTAAAAAATCCTCTACAGAATAAAAGCATTTATCCAATAGCCAATTTTTTAATACTATTCTGAACCTGCTGTAGGGTAGTTGCTTAATATTGTCAGGTACTGTATTTTATATTTTTATAGCCATTGCATAACTATTTTTATTGAAACGCGAAGTTTTGGGATTGTTACTCAATACAAGTTTGTTCAAATTTTCCCATTTCTAATACATATAAGCAGGGCAGTGTTAATATGTTTAATGTTTTGAAGAATGGTCTGCAAGAAAAATCTGGTGCAATGTTACAAATGGCTCGAATACATTTCTTTTGGGCAATGAATACTTTATTTATATCCGTACCATTTCCCCATGTTATAAGTCCATATCTAAGGCAAGATTCCACATAAGCTAAATATGCTAAAACTGCTGTCTTTTTGTCTGTAATTCTTGCAAGATTATATAAAGCATATGCGAAGTTATTTATTTTTCCAAATACATTTTCTATTTGGTCTCTCCAATTAAGCCTGCTATCTATAAATAGACCCAAAAACTTACCTTTTGTAGCCCATTTAATTTGTTCACCGTTAAAGTTAATATTCGTCAAAGGGTTTTTAAAAGTATTAAAATTAATTACTTCTATTGGTTTTGTTAATATTAATTTGAAGATTATTATCATTTAGCCAATCTATTATGGATGTCACAGTATTAATAATGTCATTTCGATGTTGTTCCATTGTGCTACCTTTATTAGTAGAGACTAACACTGAGATATCATCAGCAAATAAGGTAAATTTATTGTTTGAACAATTTGTAATGTCATTTATATAAATTAAAAATAGCAATGGACCGAGTATGCTCCCCTGTGGGATGCCAGTATCATTTTTTTCAAGACTGGGTTTGTAGGTTTTTATCGTATGATTATTACTTATTTGTTCTATCTCAACAAATTGAACCCTGTTCTCTAAGTACGATTTTAACTAGTCATAGGCAGGACCTCTTATTCCGATCAACTGTAGTTTATCGAGTAGTTTTTTGTGTGACACCCGATCAAATTCTTTAGACATGTCAATGAAGGCGACTGAGGTGTATTTATTTTCATTAACATTTTGTAGAATATTATTTACTAAATTATACACCGCTTGTGTCGTAGATTTAAGTTTTTGAAAACCATACTGACTTTAACTTATAACACTAAATTTATTAAAAAATATATTTTTTATGTTGTAAATTGTGTATTCTTTTATATGAGTTGGTATTCAGGTGATTTTGATTTAAATATTTTAGACATCAAGTAGTTTCAAGCTTTTGTCATTAAAATGTAAAAATTTAAAAAATGATTATTTTTTAAAGAGAAGATGTTAATAATTTATAAGCACGTGCACAGTGGCACTAAAGTTGTTAAAGACATGTTTTTAAACTTCAGTTTCGATCTCTTTGACTTAAAAGAATTGAATACAAATAGAAGGGTACAAGATAACGATTATTGAATGGTGTTCATATATTTTTCTGTAGCCAATCGCTTAAATATAACATTTCATCGAATCAATTTTTATATTTAATTTTGAATGAATTTTATAATGATTAAGTAGTGCGATTGGCAAGATATTCTCGTATAAAGAAAATGCCAAGTGTTGTAAGCCGTTGACCAACGGACTGTGCAAATACAGTTGCTTAAATGCTCAACGTGCCAATGAAAATGTTGAGAGACTGGATTATAGGTAGGTAAGTAATATCATTTAGTACAGGAATTTTCAGTAAATACTACAATATATAATATATATTTATTTATACTGCAGTAGAAGATAACAAAATAAGTACTGTAGGGCTTAACCTGAAGGGCAGCCCTTGGGGGTAAAACTCAAATGGTGATTAATAATAACGATTAAGACTTTTGACTTTGTTTATTTGAAGTCAGAGCGAACATAATAATTCTTAATTAATAGTCAACTGATCGAGTCTATTCCTGAATTCTATCTGTTGGAATCTTCCCTAAAAGACAGTAGATTCCCAATTTAAAATCTTTAAAATAATGACATTAACTTCTTAATATAACTGCCAGCCGTAGGCATTACATAAGCAAAGAGTTTACACAAGCAAAGAGGCCGTAACGCAACGGGCGTTACAGTACAGCAAATAAGTCTTATAAATTATTTTTGTGTTAGTAATAAAATTACACATTAAACCGCGCTGGGATATATTAAAAAAGTGCACACAAACCAAAATCTAGGTAGGGTCATAATAACACAGCAAAAAAATTAATTTAGCTATTTTAACTTACAATTTTGAACACGTGAAATTATTTTATACACTTTGGAAATTCATGATAAGGTCTATACTTTTTTCATTAATCTGAATAGAATTTATTCCAATTATAATACGAGACTATATTACGTGTCTGTCAACACTCGGCTCTTAGAATAGCTGGATCCATACCTTGGGACTTGGATGCTGAGCTACTACCTTCTGTATACTGGCAGAAGATACAGACAAGACAGCAGGACCAAAGACCCGCAATCGAAAAGGTGGCTCGATAGTCGACTGCGTTAAGATGCCCAAAACGAAGCAACAGTAACTTGGGGAGAAAGATTGCAGCAAGAGTTGGATGCTGCTAATCCAAGAACCTGGTGAAGAACATTAGAGGAGATAGTCCCTATATTAAAGAGCTGGGTTGGGTGTGAGTACGGATCTTTAACCTTCCTACTCATGCGGGTCCTCTCCGGACACGGCTGTTCTGGTAGATACTTATATAATACTCCAGCCTGCCATCAGTGGGGCTGCCAAGAAGATATGGCGCAGCATGCATTTGAGGAGTGCCCAAAGTACGACGAGCTGCGGACTATTTTGATCGCAGCTATAGGAGATAATCTGTTACTATCGGCCGTTATGGGAAAAATGGTGGAAAACTAGAACGCTTGGGAGGCATTGTCATCTGGAACTCCCTTGCCTACCGACTAGGGAAAAGCTACTTTTCGTCTTGTGGGTAGGCCGGGGAGAACTCGAAATAACCCGCTCACCAGTTTTCAGTGAACGGGTATGCGTCAGGCATTTCCCCCACGGAAAAACATGGCAGGCCACGGTGCAATTAATATTTATGGTATCGCAAGCGTCTTTAGGCTATGGTAGGCGCTAATTATCAGGCGGGCCATACGCATGTTTGCCACTTTTGTATTTGATTAGTTGACCAATGATCAATGGGCGAAAAGTCAATCATAAAATATCGCTTGTGGTAAGTAGTGGGACATCGGAATCGATAAGACTTAAACACATCTAATCACAATAGTGTCAATGATCTTCATGTAACAGGCACTATCACCACGTAATTATTGACGGAGCTCGGAAGATAACACTCATACGATTAATCACAATATTTTTTTTGCCGTTAAGACTCTTTATATTTTAATCCGTCGGACAGTTTATTCCCAACTTCATCTTATATTTCTTATTGCATTTATTATCGATTAAGTATATAAAAAAGAGAAAAATACTCCTTTTTTTTTCAAAATTCTCTAAGCAACCATTAAATGCATCATATTCTGTCATTTCTATGCAGTCAAAATCAATAATACCTAATAATCACAAGGCTAAAAAATCAAGCTATTATTATTTTTATTAAATAACTATAAAAGGGCTTATAACAAGGAATCTAACATATTAAAAGGGTGCTTAGGCTAAGGTTAGGTTGCCAGTAACAATTGAATAATATAGCATCGTTATCAATCTTGCTTATATTAAAGCAACTTCACCTTTAATATACCCGTAGGTCTGCCTTATAACATCTGTTCTCTGCATGAACTGATAGTCGACTATAGATTATAAATAATTATGATGAATAAATACTACAAATATGATACCTACATACAGTGAATGAACAGATAACGTTGACTCACTCCAAGTTATTTCCTAAGTTTTTTTATCATAACGCCAACTCATCCCCAGTGTATCCCGGCACTTCCATGCGACCACACGGTTCGTTAACAATACTGCGATGTTAATATTTATATACAATTCTTTAAAAACATGTTTAAACATAAGTGTGAACGTTTGTACGCGAGTTGTATTAATATTAATGAGTGCCCTAATTTATCAAGGATTTGTAATAATGGAAATATTTTTGAACAGCTTCCATTTAGTGTACCCGCCTTATTTAGAAAAACCTATAGTGAGTATATGCAATGTGGTTAAATCTGTCATTGGATTTGCTGTTATGATAGCTGCAAAAAAGGTACCCATTTAACATTCTTATTATTATGATAAGCAAGATATGTACATCGTTTCTTCTAAAAGTTAAGGCATCCCTTGCTGTTTAAGTCCCAACTATCTTCATGAACTCTTCATCATCATCATCAAGGGCGTACTTACTTTTGGGCCAAAAGCCTACGGCGGCGTCAGAAGCCGTAAAAAGGAATTCGTTACGGACCTATATTTTAATTCGTTAAATAAGGAATTTTAACTTAACTGGTAGTGAAAGTGAAAATTTAACTGGTAGGGGAGGATGCAAATCTGTAATGGCCGGTGGCGCCAGATTTTAAAATACTTTCGCTCTTGATCATCATATAGCCCATCAGCAGCTTATTCATGCTGGGACACAATGAGAACAGTACCCTTAGTACGAGTTTGAGCTCACGAAAACTATCATAGTTTTCATAATTGTAAATTATGTTTCTGTGTCCATTTTGGTAACCAAATATACTTAGAATTTAAACACTGTTTATTTGTATTGAAACGAAAACAATAAAATCAGTACGCTTAGTACGAGCTCACGAAAACTATCATAGTTTTCGTAACTCGTACTAAGGGTACAGGCCCTAACTCAGCGCGAGAGCCCAGTGCGGATTGTTGTGTGCTAACGACATCAGGAGTAAACGGGACCAACGGCTTAACGTGACATCCGTAACACATTAGAGATTGAAAGAATAAAATGAATATTTGTTCGCCCACCCTACGAACGGCCATTGCGAAAGATGCTCAACTTCCATGATTGCAGACCGAAAGGCAATAATAACCACTCGTTATCAAACACCTCCACTTTAAAACTCATAACTATTTGAAATCGCTAAATTAACATTTGGGTATTATTATAGCTTTACTTTTGGTAGGTACCTACATTATCAGTAGGTACTTTATGCATTTTTTCTAAACTTAATATATAATAGGTACAAAAGCCCCTAAGTATAGGAATAAAGTGTTAAATTCTATAATAGGTTAATAAGCATCAAATCCTTGTAACACTAAAATCACTTATCGTAAATATCATTAATTATGGCGATACGTTATCAAATAACATCCAGGCATAAGTCTCAAAATCAAGCGATTAAATCACTAGAACAACAGTTATTAAAATCAATAACTTAGACTTTATCTGTGTAAAAAAAAAACAATATAAACCTTCGTCCCAGTTTATCCTCTGTAACACAACTCTGACCAAAAAATAATCAGTTGGAATCAAAAGTAGTTAACAAAAGTCTTGAAAATTTGAATAATGAGTTTGAATTGGTATTCGGCCATTATTTTTACTTAATAAGAATTAAAAGATGTTATGTTTATAAAGTTAAATAAATCGAATATTTTGTTGTGGTACAATGAAGTTTAAGTGTAAATTGCAAAACAATATATGAACTAAATCCAGTAGCATAGTTCGCACAACCGGTTCTTTTTAACTGTCCTACTTTCATTGTACCTGCTTACGTTAAATTGTAGCAGTTTTATTAAGTAAGCTTCCATACAAACGTATACTTAAAGAACAACCGAAGTTACAAAGATAGTTCCGATGCCAATTGCGCAGTAGTTAATACGTTCAATGTATCTGAGTAATGAAAGTTAAGCACATTTCGTAGTGGCCGGTCATCGGATGGGTGACCAATACCGAAGCGGTTTCTTTCCCTAACAAATGATTATAACCTTTTCTTACTCTAAGATTTTGTTAAAAAGTTTGTAAGGTTTACGATGAATTAATAATACACAATAACAGGCCATACGGAATCCAACTGCGACTAAATGATGATATAGCTAGGAACAATACGTCCCATCCGAAGCACGGAAAAGCTGAAGAAAAAAAAAATAAGTCAAGCCGAATTTCTCTGAATCTGCACGAAATAAAAATATATGATTATGAGAAATGAAACTACATATTTGGGTCAGGCCGCCATTTTTTGCTGATTTTGAAAACTGTTTTCTCCGCGGTCAGTATTTTGAAAAGTATTATAGATATCGGATTTTCGATGACGGCTTTGGATTAAGCAACAAAGTGACTCAAGTGGACATTATGATTATTTCAGGTCAGATAATAAACAAAAAATATATTTCGAATGAAATCTGAAAAAAGGTAGTAAAATTACATAAAAACTTCTATCCGCCGAGGTAGAGGTGCACTTTAACTATCGTAGTAGCAAAAAGTATGTCAGTTTTTGAGACATGGCTGATACTATAAGAATACTTATATTAATAGCTATCCGTGCTTTTAATTTAGCAACGTTTATCCTAAGAATTTCCTTGAAAATGATTTCAAATAAGTTTTCGTCAAAAACTGTACTTATACGCCACTTTTGTCAACGCCACCTATTCTCCATGTTCTATTAACTTTAGGAATCGGTGAAGTGGCAACACTGAGTTTCTGTAATCTGTGGACAGCGGCTTGATGAGCGGCTATATTTTTGACAGTTGACATGTGAACGTCTGGTGTAGTTTGTGTACACAATTTTTTCAAGGTAAGATTTTTGTGCATAAAAAAGTAAGTTTGATTGTTACACGAAAAACAAATAGTGCATCATGTTAGTAGAAGTGAAAGCCATGTTTGGAGCTATAATGCAACTCAAATCATACTTTATTTACAGAGATATAAGTGGTTTTCTCAACGCGACGATAGCGTAGAAGTAGAAATACGCCACCATTTTGGTACTTCAACGCCAACGGTAGCGTAGATATTCGTCACCTCCTCTACGCCACCAAATAAAGGTAGGTATCCACTCGTTTTTATTATACTAACTTTTTACCTGACTGCCGAAGAAAGGAGGGTAATGTTTTTCGAGAAAAAAAAATGTATGTATACTAACTAAACCCATTCGTGTAATTTCAGCTTGTATTTCTTAGGCTGCAAGGCATAGATCACGGTAACATAATGGTCAGTGCATCTGCCCGGATAGCGGAGGGTGCAGTTTCTAGTCCCGTGTGCTGCCTGGACCGCGTGGAATTTTTTTTAGTAAAAATTTTCTTTAGATTTAAAATCCAGCAAATAAATGCTTTAAAAAATTAAAATATAATAAATGTCTAGTTGATTATAAAATTGTTGATGTTTTTATTTACTTAGATATAGGGAACTACTTCTTATTCTAAATTCAACGAGCTGGTCCATTAGTGGGGGTCCATTATTAAATTGTGTTCATTATTAGATGTCCATATTTGGTGCATGTTCATCACTGGATGTCCATTAAATGATTTTCCTTGTCCATTACTAGCTTAAAAAACCGTGTTTTTATTTTAATGATATCTCTCATTTTTAGCGGTTATTTCTAACTTTTTCGGCATAAGGATAAAGGAAAAAATACGGACATTAAGCTCAACATTGATGTTAAAACAAATCCTGATATATTAGGAATACTCCTGCAAAAACCCACCTTTTCATCCTTAAAGTGTCCATAATTGGTGCAATTACGTTATACAACATAATTTTAATATTTTGGCATGTGTATGCCAACCTTAACATTTATTCGTCACTATTATACGCTACTCAACGTTACCGACGCGTAGAAGTTTCTACGCCACCAACACAATACTTCTGCGCCATATCAGCAAAAAATGGCGGCCTGACCCATTTATGTATTTTTCATTCACAGTCAAAATATTATTGTTAAACATGTTTGTACTTAATTATAAATTTAACAACGCAATCGGGAAAAAAATGATTTAATTATTTATGAGTGATGGGCACGAAAATAAAAGTCAAGTTTTTTATAGTTATCAACAATGTTATTTTGATGTTGTTTGATTGAATATACGCACACCAATACAAGATTTTTTATGCTTTCATCACCATCTACCGTAAATCAACAGAAATATTAAAAGAGTTCTAATATACTACTTGTTAAAATGTATTTTTTAGAACCTAAAAAATTTAATCTAGATATCTTCGCAAAAGCTTCGATAGCTTTTCCACAGTGAAACAAGTTCCCTAGACAAGACTGTCTGTCTGTTCTGAAAACCGTCTATTTGGTTAGTACGCTAATGCTAAATTAAATGTACAGGTAAATAACATAAACGAAGTCAATCTCACTCATAGGAACAGTTCAAAACAGAAAAAAAAATCTAAGGCTAAAGATGGCATCTTTCAGTCAATCAACAGTGAGGGTGCCGATCTGGCAACGAACGTGTGATAGTCTTGGTGTTACATTTGTCCATAAGCGACGCTGATCACTAACCATCAACCGTAGCGTTTGCTTATTTACCTTTCACTGCAACCGTGATCAAAACAGCTTCACGCAAACTCGGAGTCCTGATCAAGGTGCGGCGTTTTTTCACGCCCGATCAACTGTGCTTGTTGTACAAAACGCAAGTGCGGTCCTGCGTGGAATATTGCTCGCACCTCTGGGATGGCTCCGCCAAGTACTTGCTCGATGCTTTGGATAGGTTACAGCGGCGCGCGATCCGCATCATAGGCGATGAGGAGGTGACTAAACACCTTGAGCCTCTTCAATTACGCCGTGACGTGGCGTCACTAAGCGCGTTCTATCGTTTGTACCACGGCGAGTGTTCTGAGGAGTTATTCTCTCTTATCCCACCTTCCCCTTTCCTTCAGAGGACCACGCGCGCTGGCCTACGTTGTCATCGTCTTACTGTGGCCACAATTCCAACGCGTACAAAGAAATTTGGTGACTCATTTCTTTGTCGTACTATCCGTAAATGGAATGCTCTGCCCGCTCACGTGTTCCCTCCCTCTTACAACCTGGGATCCTTTAAAAGAGGCGTGAAGAAGCAACATGCAGGCCGGCAGGGTGAGGATGGCTGGTGTGGCAGGTAGAACTGCTGTATCAGCTATCTTCGCGTCTGGACTTCACCTTCACTTAACATCAGGTGGGGTGGAGTCATTTGTCGGACCTAACTATATAAAAAAAAAACTTGCAATCTGCAATCCTGACGTTTGCATCATGTGTCACAGTAGAAAGCAGCAAGTTTATACCAAGACAGAGCAGATAGAATGAGTATTTTGGGTGGGATAAATAACATTACATGATACCTATATGCATTACCATAAATATTATATGACGTAGTTATAATTTTTCAGTGTTTTCATCGGGTTTCACTTATCACAACACCACGGTTCTAGTGAAATCCTATGCCCATGCTTCTCACCCATAATATAACCAAAGTCATATTAGCCAATAAAGACCATCGTAATGGTGCCTTATCACGAATACAGGTAAAACGATTGTTACGGACGCACATTAATACTTGTATGTAGTTACAAATCCAGCCTTGAAAAACGTAATTACAGAAGGCAAATGTTGCAAATATAGTTGTAGGTATGCCTTTTGAGAGGCAATGTAAGTCACAATTTTGTTAAACCAGTTAAACTGGAAAAACTATACATGTGATGTAGAATATTTATGAGTATCATTTCTCGCAAGAGGCATAGTGATGAGATAGGTATTAAGTTTGCCTTAAAGCAGGTAGCTTGCCGAGACTACCTTTCAGTGGCGGCGCTAGACCACATGTGGATGTCGGCGACATCAAGTTCGCGAGGCCTATTTTACTTCGCAGTAAAAAAACCGTTAAATTAAGTGATAAAAATTATAAAATAACGTATGAGTAAACCAGTTTTATTGTTGATAATCAAATGATGACAAAAAAATATTAAAAAAATATAATTTTAATTACAAAAATAGTGTTGCCAGACAGACGATTCTGAATACCCGTAAAGTACTAGGTACTCGCTTCCATCACGCACGTGTTTGAAAATAATATAAGTCATTATCATCTGCTTAGCTTTTTCCCCGAATTGTTCGGGGTCGGCTACATAAACCAGGCCAGGAGAAACGAAAATAAATAGGTAATTGTTTTTTAGGTTTTCACGCACATCACTCATTAAATAAAACTAGTTTTTACGGGTTAATACGTAAACGTAAACGTCAATAAATAAATAAAATTTCGTGCATTAACCCGTAAAAACTAGTTTTATTTATAAATAGGTAACTTGTAAAAATTTTTTGCGAGGCCCCCTCAGGCGCGAGGCCGTCGGCGGTGGCCGACGTCGCCGACGCCTAGCGCCGCCACTGCTACCTTTCACTACACACACAGTTATATTCGAATTTCATTACGAATTTAAACTAAACCCGCTAGTTGAAGGACGGTTGATTTGTTTTGAGTAAAGATTTTTTTAAACATTCATCATGATTCATATAAAATACTAGTGGCCCGCCCTCACTTCGCTTCGGTATTTTATCCCCTTGGGGGTAGAATTGATCAAAATCCTTTCTTAACGGATGCCTACGTCATAACATCTACCTGCATGCCAAATTTCAGCCCGACCCGTCCAGTGGTTTGGGCTGTGCGTTGATAGATCACTATGTCAGTCAGCCACCTTTGAGTTTTATATTATATAGATGTACATATTTGTTAGTTGTGAAAGCAAATCACAACATCCGAACTTTGACTATTATCTATACATATTTAAATAATATTTTACTAGAAAAACTCTACGCGTTCCAGACGGCAAACGATTTTTTCTGCAATTAAATGCTTGAAATAAATATAATATACTATATTACATATTTATCAACGATAACTTGAATTGTTAAATACAATCACCATCAGCATTACCGTAAAACGGGGTGAATACCAACAGTTTTAACTTTTGACTTATCATAATTTTGTATTATTAAAGTGTAAGTGAGGTGACAGATTTTTTTAAATTTAATTTTTATACCTAGTTTTGTCTTCTATGAATAACCATAAATACATAGGAATTTTTCCTACTATGGCAAGGATTCTTGGTCCTAGGTTCCTACAATAAATATTCCATACGAGTGTAATAATGAAGATCAATATTGAGACAACCCTAGCTTCTTGTTTTCTATTGAACCCTTTTGGTTTCTATTCAACCCCTTTCATTTCTATTAGCCCCATACAACGTATCTATTCACCCCATACTGCATATCTATTCACCCCTTTCTCGTTACTATTAACCTCAGACCCAGATAAAAATCTACATGATGTACTATTTTCATCCATGACAATAAATTTAAGACATTGTTTTACTTACAATTATGTAAAAATGAATCACAATAGAATGAAGATCAACCGAAATAACTTTTTATCTCAGAACAACACGTTTTCTTTAATTAAAAGACATACCTTTGAGGATCATTTTTACTCACCATTTGACCGACGACGTTTGGCCGTTGTTTTTTCGTCCATTCAAAACTCCAATATAAAATCGATGTTGCCAACTCGTACAAAAAATTTTACTATCATTAAAAAAACTATTAAATTCTATTTTCTTAGTGGCAAGTTAATTTGATAATAAAAACTTTCCCGGTTCGGTCTCTATTCACACCGTCAATTCTATACACCCCATTTTACGGTAACTAAAATAACGACTCTTTGTCCTATAGGTACTTGTTATTTATTAAAACATTTAGTTCATTCAAATTCTAATAAAATTATTGTGCTTTTACCGAAATTGGATCATCACTTTAAACACGCGCTCTTTCTTTGTTTCAGACAAGCATGCTGAACGGCTTCGTCCGGAGGTTTCTGCGGTTTCTAGTCTCATTATTAGCTGTTATAATATATCCATTAACGTACATATTAAGTATCAAGAGGACGAGAAAATGTCCGCCACCAACGAACCCCATACTATTCAAATCTGCTACAACGTTGACTGCGATGATCAGAAACAAAGAGGTAATAATTTAATCGCAGTCGTTTAAAGTTTCATGTTTGTTAGAAAATAAATACATATCTAAGATTGATATCAAGCTTTATAACCAAGACAAAACAGTAGTGCTCGTCTATAATAACAAACTTACTTTTGACCGCGGAATTCGCCGGTTTGTTTTGAAATTCGTGTTCATCAATCACACCGCGGATTATGACGAGAAAAGTGAGTTTGTTCTTACAGAATTAGCTCGCAGCTGATAAATGTTGTAGAGGTGTCATGAATAGAAGAAGACCGATGAAAATATATTGATTGTTAAACATTTTCTTTATTTGAATTCTGTATCGGACTGATTGAGAAATATAGGAAATATAATATAAGGTACCTACTAGATCATATAGAAAAAAATCAATAAAAAATTGTATTAAGTATAATAAAAGCAAACCTAATTTGAAATTCATATTCATTACAGATCACATCTGAAGAAGTTGTAACAGCTTACATAGACCGATGTAAAGAAGTGAATCCTTACTTGAACGCTATTGTGGAGCCCAGATATGAGTCCGCATTAAGAGAAGCAAGGGCGATAGACAAAATGATCTCCTCTACCACCAGAACCCCTGAAGAATTGGCCAAAGAATACCCATTATTGGGTGTACCGTTTACCGTGAAAGAAAGTATAGCAGTAGAAGGTGAGATTTTTTTTCTCTTTTTTAGCCAGGCAGGCAAATGACTCACTCACACTGGCGAATTTTAATTAATTAATTATGTGGTGCTGTCAGAATATTGTTATTTTGTTAGTATATTCTTCATTCGATAAACGCTTATCACATTTTAGCCATATAACAAATAAAAATTATTTAATTTTATGACCACCGATTCCTCAGCAAAAAGCTTAATAAACGACAATTTACATCACTCATCTTAAGATCCGGACCCAAAAAACTATAAATGCTTCTTATAAAATAGATAAACCGGATTTGAACACATAATTACTTTGATGTTTTTGGAAACTCGTTGTGAGTAGAATATCGATTCTATAAGATACAATCTCACTATCGAACTCATTTTTTTGGATTTTGATATTGTCGAACATTCATTAATACTGGCAGCTTCAACAGTCATTCTGACGTTTTGCACTGTAATAAATACATTTCTATCAATGTTTAAAATCTGATCTGCCGAACTCAGAATACACTCAGAAGGGAGATTTTATTTTACATAATCGCCTACTGTACACATTCAACCTATATGATTAAAATAAAAGGTGTTATTTTTAAATAACTTGAATTGCGAATACATTTTAATACTAACTATTAATCTTACAAAATGAAACAATACAACGAAGAGATCGAGACAATAGAAATCTACTTAAGTACACTCCCAATTACCGACCGTGGCGAACTTCTTTATCCTAAATTTTTACAGACTCATGCTCAGATTGTTCAAAATTACAACTACATAAAAGAGCTGAGTTTTTTTTTACTTTTCTTGTTCTTTTTAAAAAAGCTGTCGTTTATCTAAATTCCAGGAATGAGCAACGATGCCGGTACAGTCCACCCTTACAGGAACCCAGCGAAAGCTGACGCCACCATTGTGCGCCATGCGAGGGCGGCCGGCGGCATCCCCATTGCGGTCACCAATACTCCTCAGCTCTGCATGAACTGGGAAACCTACAACAATGTCTTGGGAGTCACCACTAACCCGTACGATCAGAAACGGACTCCTGGCGGGTCGTCAGGCGGGGAGGTAAATCACATTTTTAGTTATCGTTTTCTGATGCTGAACCGAGAAAGAAAGAAAAAACTTTCCTCGTTGAACAATGAAAACCAGAGTTGTTTCCGATCAACATCTTACAATTACCCATCCAACCAATACATTAGATAAGAAAACATTGGATGCCCTCTCAACCCCATAGTGCGAGAACCTGTCCAATCTGTGTATCTGTGATGTATCATGATGTGATGCAACATAAATTTCCACGTGGTTTTCCAGCTTGTAATTTTCCTTGCTCGTCTATTCTTTTCCTACTGTCTTTTCGTTCTGTCTCTGTACTGTACTGTCCGTTACTTTTTCTCTTTTAATATCTAAGGCAAAAAATTGCTCAATGGCACAAGTGGTTAGCGCGATCGACTGCGATCGTTGTAGTTGAGCAATTTCTGCAGTCACCGTTCCGTGGTCACTGGATAGGTGACTAAAAATTTACTATCTCGAGCTCCTCCGTGCTTCGTAAGGTACATTAAGCCATTGGTTCCAGCTGCATCTGCAGTCGTTAGCACCCAACAATCCGCACTGGGCCCACTTGGTGGGTCTTGGTCCAATCTCCATATTCCATCCATAGGGAAGGGCTGTGTCCTAGCAGTGGGGACATTAATAGGCTGATGATGATTTAAGGCCATGCACCTCCCCCGGTGGCAGCACGAAGGCACCTCCATGGAGTTTTTTACCCATTGGATGAGAAAAAATCGATTTAAGGAAATTAAGTACCATCCCAAAAAGCATAAAGCAAAATTGAGTAAAAAAGCGTAATAACCTTCCAATGGCTCCTTGGAGTGATATATCATGTATGGGATTTTAATATCATCGATGTACACTGACTCCTTTGACGTCTACTTGGTCGCGAAACCAGCACATCAATTCCTTTGTCTGTACTATTGAGGATTTTAATGTTTATTGTTCTTTCTTTATTTACCTTCTAAGTGTCCATCTGATTTCCATTATACAAAAATTAAAGCTTCATACTTCGAAAAGAGTTCAAAGGACAATGGGCAAAACGCACCCAGCTCCGCCAACAATGTCATCATCATCATCATCAGCCTATTAATGTCCCCACTGCTGGGGCACAGGCCTTCCCTATGGATGGAATAGGGAGATTGGGCCGTGACCCACCACGCGGGCCCAGTGCGGATTGGTGGGTGCTAACGACTGCAGATGCAGCCGGGACCAACGGCTTAACGTGCCTTCCGAAGCACGGAGGAGCTCGAGATAGTAAATTTTTGGTCACCCATCCAATGACCGACCACTGCAAAAGTTGCTTAACTTCAACGAACGCAGCCGAACGCGCTAACCACTTGCGCCATCGAGCTCCTCAATGTAATTAGTATGAATCGATAGATCTATGAAAAACTAGCCTTTTTTATTATGGCACCAAAAAAAAATAACCTGGGGGTCAAAAGATATACACCTGGGTATGTTCTATATTAGGGGTTAAGGTTTCCGCACATAGTCCTTATAGAAGACGTTTGTGTGTAAGTCATGGGGACCGGTTACACACGGGCATATTTAAATAGCTCCTTATAGAGAAGCTCGATGGCGCAGGTGGTTAGCGCGTTCGGTTGCGATCGTTGAAGTTAAGCAACTTCCGCAGTGGTCGGTCATTGGATGGGTGACCAAAAACATCTATCTCGAGTTCCTCCGTGCTTCGGAAGGCACGTTAAGCCGTTGGTCCCGGCTGAATCTGCAGTCGTTAGCACCCGCCAATCCGCACTGGGCCCGCTTGGTGGGTCATGGCCCAATCTCCCTATTTCATCCATAGGGAAGGCCTGTGCCCCAGCAGTGGGGACATTAATAGGCTGATGATGATGATATTTAAATAGCTAAAGAAATTCATTCAATATCAATAGTACTTTCGTTTTATAATATTAGCAATAATAAGTGAGTGAATCATATCTTACTGTACAACCAGATACAAAATACTAAACAACAAAGCCTACCGACTATCCTGCTTGCTTGCTGCTTGCACTTACTGAGACTTCTCAAAACGTCTAACAGGGTATGGGGGTTGAAGGATGTGATATTGCAGTTGCCGTTGCAACTAGTCTACTCGTATGCAGTCCTATGTCTTACATTTTGTGCGCTCCCTGTTATTTCATTGATATTTAACTAACACGCTTTAGAAATAGGAATACGATTATCATCGCGTACGTCATTATAATCGTACGAGCTAATAAAAAATCTATGGATCAATTTAAATGCTCGTACTCAGCACACAAACATCTACCCCCACCAGGATTCGAACCCGGGACCTCTCGAGCCAGCGACACCATGAAACCCGGCGTACAAACTACTCGACTCGGATATATTAATTGACAACCTCCGTGGTCGTCAATTAATATATCCGTTCTATATACTCGTCCTTGTATTTTTAAATATTATGTTCGTTATAGTTACTTTTACCTATGGAATTGTACCTATTTAACTTAAAATAACTAAAGACTCCCGGGATGGAATTTGATGCGCTTTGGCACAAATGATAATGACTATGATACCTTTCAAACAAATGTAGTTTAAGCCGTGGCGGACGTGGGTGCAGTGTCCATGCAATTTTGCCCATTGTCCTTTAGAGCTATTCATTTTGGTGATAAAATGCTTATTTCCCAAATGTAAAAAATAAAGCTAACGTTAAATTGGAAGTGATCTTTTGAAAATGGCTTATCTAATTTTTATTTTATTTCAGGCTGCTCTCATATCTTCAGCTGCTTCTTTAATTGGCGTGGGATCTGACATTGCTGGATCACTCAGACTGCCGCCTATGTTTACTGGGATTTTTGGACATAAACCCACACCTAGACTAGTGTCTGTTCAAGGTATATCCATACTTAATAATATAAATTCGAAAGTGTATATATCTATTTCGTCTTTCTGTTTGTCTGTTACCTCTTCGCGCTTGAACCGCTGAGTTAATGAAATTTGGTACAGAAATCATTTCAGTCCAGGGAAAGAACATAGGAGAGTTTCTATCCCAGAACTTATCCTTGAAGGGGTGAAAAGGCTATTGGAAGTTGGTATATAAAATAAATTTTCCCACGCAGACGAAGTCGTGGGCACTCTATCGTCCTATCGTCGTCATTTTGTTTTGTATTGTTAACATCGCTGACAACATAGTTCTATTAGTGTTCCGCAAAAATTACGTGTTTTTGTTATTTTTTGGTCGGCCTCTAATAAATATATACATATAACTGAAATGCGTACAATGCAGTTCTAATGGCGTATAGTGATACACATTACAAACATTTAAAGTAACATATCATTGAGTGGTGATATAATGACCGCTATAATTAGTTAACGGTACAACAATGCTATAACGCGTGATGAATTCATAACAGTTTGTGAATGCAAGCAACGGCCTCGATTTCTAACCAATTGCCCAAGAAATAAATTCTTGTGGTTACCTATACTGCACGCGGAAATGCACTTAAAGCGATCGCATTTACCATGTTACTAAACTTCCTTTAAATTAGTTCATTGATTAGTGATATCATGTGATATTATAGTTCAGTAATTTGTAAAATATTTTGTACTATATTTTTATTCTATTGTTTGTATTACCTTTTTAATTTATTATTGGAGTCCCATGGATCAGCTTCGCTGGCAAAATATCTGTTAAGTTTTAACTCGTAGAGTTTTCAACCGATTTTGATTTTTTTTTTGTAAATCGAATGCAGAGATTGTGAGGTTTAGATATACGAGTAAGTACTCGTATATCTAGATGATATGATTATATACTAGATGTTCACGCACTAATAATGAGTGATCTATTAAAAATGGTATTATCACGCTCTGCTTAATATAATATAAAGCTTGTTGATACAGTATCGACCCAGTATTTTCAATGTGTCGATGATATTATGAGCATTAATGCAAAATAGAGTAAAATAGCCTTACATAAACATATTGGTACTATTCAGCAATTAAACAGGTACAACGAAGGTACAACATACTATGTTGATATTAAAAATGAACATTACAAGCGTCCTTAATATTATTTTGTTGAAGAAGACCTATTATAGATTGTTTTATTTAAAATATTACAAATCTTTTCTAGGACATGTGCCTGATTGCAAAGACGATACTTTTGAGGATTATTTCGCTCTGGGACCGATAACACGATATGCAGAGGATCTAACATTACTCCTGAAAATTATCAAGGAGCCTGATGGACCGTATGTACCTTTGGATAAATTTGTAAGTAATCACTAACTGTTCTATGGAGACATAACGAACTATTTCCTTTATTCGGCACTTCTATCCATATATAAATTACACGTTTTCCTATATTACAGGTAGACGTGTCTAAACTTAAATATTATTATATGGAAGGAGAAGGTAGTAAAGTCACAAACTCAATCGATTCTGATGTAAGAAAAGCTCTCCAAAAAGCCAAAGACTATATGAAGAATACCTACAACATCGAAGTTGAACATGTAAGTAATAATAACAAAATAATTCTTCATAAAAAGCGTTTTACTGCTCTAACAAACTCACACTCACCTGTAATCTTTAAGATTGCTTAAACCGAAGACGAATAATATGATTTCTGGGTTGCCAATAATAGCTATTAGCTTCACAAGCTATTATCTATAGATGCAAATCTATGAATAATAACTTCATCATGGGTGTTAGTGTACAAAAAGTAGAATTTAATAATATTATTAGTAAATTCATGAATTCTTACACTTATAATTACAGCTAAAAATAAAGAATATGGAGCACATGTGGGAAATCAGCATCAGAGTTTTGTTTAACATAAAGAATATCCGGAACATCTATACGGATCCAGAGAATCCTGAAAAACTCATATCGATGTGGCCAGAGGTCATAAAGAGAATATTTGGTCTGACTGACAATAATTTCACCAGCGTCGCATACGGGCCTCTATACAAGTTCTTCAATGCACTTCCGAGGAGTGATTATGAGAAACTGCTCAAGATTTTTAATGAGATCAAGACTGAATTTCACGTAAGTTGTACTTAGTTTTTTTCAAAAGTATAGCACAACTTTTATGGAGGTATATTTAATTTCAGTAATACCCCCATTTAATGTTATTCCCTATTGTTATATTTACAATAAAATGTGGTATTTTTTTGTTTTTAAGATTGTTTTTAACCCTCTACTGCATGAATTATGAAGGAAACGATAAAAAAAATATTTGATGGTTATTGAGCCTTTATTTACTGATAAGATTTACTACAGAAATGAAATTTGAAAAAAAACGGTTACAGGAACTGAAAAAAAAATTAAGACCATATATGGGTTCATATGCATTCAAACAAATTATAATCAAAATTACTAGTGACATATATGGGTTTCTATGAAATAAAGAAATAATTTGAGCTTGTAGTATCTCGCACAATAGTTTCAGTATTTATCATGAAAATCTGATAAACAGTTCCGTTTGTCGTTGTAACATAGAAAACCCATACATTTTTTACATTTTGTGTAAGTTTTTTGACCGCAACATTGACATTTTTGTCGGTTTTTCATCCATTCCGGCATATGGTCTTTCTTACAGAGTTCAACGGCAGTTCTTGGTGTCTGACAGGAACTTTCCTTATTTTACTTGGACGATTGGGTGTTCCTGGATTAGATGAAGCAGGACTTCCGTGGCCAGTAAAACTTATAGGCGTTCCGTCTCTGCTTTGATTACAGGGACGTCCTTTTTTTCGAATACTTACCTGATTTGAGTATGTGTTCTGAAACTGCTTGCTTAAAATCAAATAAAGGCATGTAATTGTTTGGATTATTTCTGCGCCAAAGAATCCAAGCATTCACAATACACATATCCACCATGTGGAAAAAAATTCGCTTATACCATTTTTTGGATCTCAAGTGTTAGCGGGCTTGTTTATGTTGTCTTGTACAGATGTCAAATTAGATTGATTGGTAATAGTTTCTAGCAAATCTTCAGAAAATAAAAACACAAAATAATCTGCCGGTGTTTCAAGTTTTTCAAAAAAATCCGGTAATTGTGCGATTCCAGTAAATTTGAAATTCTTTACATCATAAGCCTCTATTTTTTTTGTTTCCCATTTTATTACGGTAGCCTTATTTTTTTTGCCTTCCCTTTATTTTGTGTGGTTGGTGCAGGGCTAGTTTCTTCATCAGAAGAATCGCTATCAGTTTCGAGGATAACAACAGATCTTCTGTGACGTTGGTATTGTCTAGGAGGAACATATTCGCTGTCGGAATCGGAAGCTAAGGCAGATTAACATGTTTATAAGAGCCATAAAAGCGAGCAGGATCCATTCTGCAACCAAAGAAAAGCCATCCAGCACATCACACAAAAAACTGATAATGCATACGAAACCATATATGGTTCACAGAAAAAAGGCAAAGTTTGGTAAGAATGCATGCGAAACCATATATGGTTTCGAAGAAACAGTCCTTCAGTATGATAGAAATATGCAAAAAAGCTATAAAAAACTAAAACATTATTGAAATAGAATAGTAATAGCACCATATTTTATTTTTTTATCAAGCAAAACTTACCTTTATCATGTAGATAAACTTTTTTGAAAAATGAATTTGCAGACACTGTGTTGAACTTCGCACCCGCGCTGATACAAGTGAGGTTATAACGGAATTGACGTTTGACCACAGACAACAAAATATTATTTTCGTATTACTAACATAATAATCTTAAGGTAGACGATGCGTTTAGTTAATGTATTAGAATTATTACGAAGAAAAAAAAAACTAAAGTTGAAGAACCATATGTGGGTTTGTATGCGGTAGAGGGTTAAAGGATATTTTTGCCATATGGGGTTTATATCAGTGAAACCTGGGGCCTTATTAAGTGACTTTCATGCTTTCTGAAATATCTTTCATTGCAAAGTTGGAAAAGAGATATGTTAAACTACATTGACACTTTAGACTATCAGCCCCCTAATTTTTTTCTTGATTATGTTGCAGAATGCCCTTTCTGACGATGGAGTTCTGTTCTTTCCTACGTTTCCGTATGCGGCAGACTTACATTACAGAACGTTCTACAAATTCCTGAACTGCAGTTACCTGACCATCTTCAATGTCCTAGGATTGCCAGTAACCGCTTGTCCCATCGACTTCACTAGAAAAGGAATGCCAGTAGGCATACAAATAGTAACGAATAAATGCAACGATCACATCTCAATAGCTGTTGCCAGAGAATTCGAAAAAGCTTTCGGAGGATGGGTACCACCTAACAAAGATCTCCTAGTTGACGTTAAGACAGCATAATATGACAACGCTGCAACGACGAAGAAACATGGTGTTGCGTAATTTAATCGCACTATTAAAACATATCAGTAGTTGATAAGTCTAGGTGTATATAAGGTATAAATTGTGAATCGGTTATAAAGAAGATTAAATTCAAAAATTTTATCTAACGTTAGAATGAAATGTTAATGAACAAATTCATCTAGAAATTGTTATAAGTAGCAAATTATTTGGAAGAAATCCATGGCGCACAGTGGCTAGTTCTTTCGGTCTGTGAACGTGAATTTTCAGCAATTTACGCAATGGTCGTTCATAAGATAGATTTCACAAAATTTTCAGCTTTTTCGGATGGCATGCTAAGCCCTTGGTCCCCGGTTGCACCAACAGTCCTATACATTCACCAATCCGCAGTGGGCCTGTGTGGATAGCTCATAGCCCATTCTCCCTAATCCATTTATAGAGAAGTCTTATGTGGACTTATGCCTCAGCATCCGGGACAATACTAAGCTGATAATGATGATTGTTTAGATCCTTCTTTATCATGGATTGGAAACTGCGTTAATATTTATAGTGAATGATCTTTCTATAGCAACATGGTGAGACAAAGTTCTCGTGGTAAATTTATCGAGTTAAAACTAGCAGTATAGATTAAATTGTCACAATGATGTTATGACGTACCTGAAAAAATATCAGAATTGTTAAAATATGAGAGCCTTTTTTACCGTCCTTATTTATATTATAATATGAAGTTATTCGACTTTATGCTCGTAATTAAGTATTGCTCTCTGTCAAGGACAGCTCGAATAGAAATACTCTATCTATTAAATATCTTATTTCTTGCATGAGACCGGGGCAAAATGAGATACTTAAGAGAAAAAACTTCAGAATATGAAAATCAAACTGTTTATCATAAATTTATTAGAACAACAAAAATACTTATAATCTCAATTAACATGATTATAATGTTTTATGACTCTAAATCACATATTTTTTTGGAAATAAGAAACTAAATGACGCATTCCAAATATCTCGTCTTGCCCCATGATCAGGGCAAAATGGGAAACGCTATGGGGCATAATGAGTACACATTTAAATCTGGTCGGCAACGTTCACATATATGTGCATCTTCATAATCATCGTCTACACCTGCGCAAGAATTATGGGTCTAGCCTTTGCACTCTCTACAAATAACCCATCCTTCATTGGATTGTGAATATGAGTACCCACAATATATACAAGGACAATCATTTTCATAATATAATAATTCTTCTTCCTGTTCTTTATTAAAAACTGTTTAATAGCGCCCAAATTTCTTTCTACCATAGTCATTATCTGAATCAGTGTCTGTATCTAGAGAATATCGAGCCTTTCTCACTCGTCGTTCCAAAGCCGATTTAGGCACGTTATATGTAGCTGAGGCTAGAAGAAATCCTACTGTCTCAGAAAGCCCAGCTCTAACCGCTCTTCTCATATCGTCTTCTTCCCATGTTCCACGATCTGCTTTGCGTTTATAATTTCGTACCATTTTAACTGCAAACAAAAAATAAATTTCTTATTGTATAGTAATAAAACACTCTTTTACTAACATATATGGGGCAAAACGGAATACTATGTCATTATGCCCCGACCTTTTTATCCCAACAGACTCATTTTGCAAAAGTAATAACAGTAGAACTGTTATTAAGACAAACCTACAAAATTATTAAGCAAAAAAGCAACCTTCATTCGTTAGATTTTCACTACTACAAGAAGTATGTAGTAAAATAATACAATAGTACATCAGTACTATTAATAATATAAGGTAGGTATCAACCTACCTTGGTGCACATTGATTCAAAACAGAAAACTTCGTAAAAATCCTCCCAAAAACTGTATTTTCTCGCCACGCAGCCAAAACACGCAGTGACACATACGCACCCGCCGGCCTCATTTGACGCGGCTGAACATCAAGCGAATGGGGCTGTGTTAAGCTCTGTTGTGTTCACCAGCACACTTCCCGTCCTACCCCGAGCTTCGTCTTGCCCCGGTCTCCCCTACTTACGCTTTTGTAATGAAATAATAATTTGTGATAGTGATAGTAAAGGGAAATTTTGATTTTTACCTTTTACGTAATTTACTCTTTTTATATTTCTTTTTGTATATTTTATTATATGATAGTCGTCACATTTAGATTTAAACTAACGCATACTTGAAAACATCACTTAAATCCCAAAAAATAGAAAATAAGGTTTGTCGGAAATAATATCAGTTGTAAATAGGTTTTATCTACGAACATCACAAGTAAATTATTTTTATGTTTAGCTGGTTATACTAGTATAAAATGGAAAAAGGAATAGGTACCAATATACATACTTATCGAAAATATATCCAAGTGTTCCAAAACAACCTAATTTCTCATTTAAAGTCATAATGATACCCAAATGATACCTACATACCCAGTGCTATTTTAATTTATACTAGTTAGGGCATAGTGCGCTAAACGACGCACGGGTGCATTCAGAACAGTACCCTAAGCACAAACCAATATCGAATTCGAATAGTTGAATTCGATCTCGATTTGCGTCAAATGTTAAGAAATTTTGAATTCGATCTCGATATGCGTCAATTGTCAAGAAGTTTTGGTTGGAAATCTGGATAGCGCCACAGCGGACGTAACGACAATTATAAATCTTCCATACAAAACTTCTTGGCATTAGACGCATATCGAGATCGAATTCGAATAGTTTGCGAGTCCGAAATGTCATTATTAAATGTGTACTGATTTTTAGTACTCGTTACGTCCTTTGTGGCGCTTCTGTCCAATATTTTTTTTTGTGGATTTTCAAAAGGAATTGCAATTGTATGCTAATTTATTTGAGAAAAGTAGGCAATATAGAGTCTGTTAATGTTAAGATTTTTATATATCAATCGAACCCTGCCATCTGTCAAATGTCGAAGTTTTCTATTGATACGGATTTGTTTGTTGTTATGATTTCTTGCGGTTTTTTGTACTTAATCATGTCTAAAAGGGGTAAAACCTTAAAAATACGGTAGAAAAGCAATGATTTCAATCGTTAGATATGCCCTTACCATAGTTTGACCGCTCTGAAAGCTGACAGTACTCGAATAGGCTAAGTAGTGTATCATCATGGCTTGTCTAATCAGTGTTCATCTGAATATAGTGGCAGTTTGACGTTGGTGAATAAAATACCGCAGGCATTTATGCGAGAAAAGTGTATTAAAATGCCGTCGTGTGCCTTCCGAAAGTGAACTAACAATTCGGGAAATACAAATAAAGTTAATGGTGTAATATTCATGCGTATATTTTTAGATTTCATTGTTTAATAAATTTATTTTCTTTCGTTGTCATAAATATTGAAATGTGATCGAACAGCGCATGACAGAGAAAGTAGTGTTAGAAAATATTGCAAGACACACTATTCTCTCGGTACCGCGCTGTGCATTAAGTCCGTTTGTCCGCCCATGAAGTTTCATAAAAATTATTCTAAATTCGATAGAACTAATTACTTACTGTTCTTCAAGAACTAAAAGGAGAACCTTTTAGTGACGAGCACTTAGTCCTAAAATTTATCGAATCGGTAATCGTAGGGCATTGCATTAAAACTTTACAAAACTATAACATATTATGTATTATTATATTCAGTTAACATAATATATTATCCATAATTATATTTACGGCTTCTGGTAAAGATTTCACGTTGAAATCATTTAATTAAAATATCGCACTCTATCTTTTCTTTCTATCTAACTAGCTGACCCGGCGAACTTCGTACCGCCCAAAAGTCGAGGAATGTGATTATATTAATTTATATTTATTAAATTGATGATTTGGAGCCGCAGTAAAGCAAATACAAAAAAAGTTAAATAGTTTATAAGGATTTTAAACCCACAAAATTAAGTTTCAATAACTTATATTTTAATAGTGTAACAGCGAAATTTAAAACGGGACTTATTGTTTACCAGGGTTGCCATGTATTTGCCTAATAACCATTCTCCATACACAAACATCCCTTAATCTCTCAGTACCCTACGACTTCTTGGGAAATTAGGAATAGTTTTATATTTTTAGATAATTAAACCAAATGGAGTAAAATTTATGTTATAATGAAATGAAAACTGCGATATTGATACTTCAGTATAGTGTTGAAGTTATATTCATCGTCTCTTTACCAAAATATCAGCTAGTATTTGCAACTTGTCTTTAGATTATAGTATTTTCTTTAAATTACAATATCACTAAAGTGATCATCTTCTATCTAAATATAGTGTAGTAACAGATTTGCAGTAGGTACAAATAAGCAGCCATTCTTGAGTTATAAGTGTTTCAACTAACACAACTTTTTGTTAGTTGAAACACTTATAACTCAAGCCGAGTGGTTTGTACGCCGGGTTTCATGGCGTCGCCGACTCGAGAGGTCCCGGGTTCGAATCCCGGTGGGAGTAGATGTTTGTGTGATGAACACGAGCATTTCTACTCCAGTCATGGATATTTAATATGTATTTCTATATAAATATACTTATATATATATACAGTATATGTATTCTATCCGTTACCCTAGCATCCCATAACACAAGCCTTATAGTGCTTACTTTGGGGCTAGGCTAATTGGTGTGAGTGTTGGAAATATTTGTTATTATTAAGTATTATTATATGTAAATTATCCGAGTAAACTATTGAACTTTTTTGTTTGTTTTATTTCGCTTGTAAAGACCTAAATTTTATCATGCTATAGGTATATTTTTCGACTGTTATAAAGGCGGTACGCAGTTCGCCAGGTCAGCTAATTATAATATAATTGCAATGTATTTATTCACCACATAACTAAGCATTTGTATTTTTCTAAATTCTTAATGTATAATAAATAAATCAAAACCATCGCCGCAGATAGGATCGCTGAGCTTATGTAGACATTTATATTTTTTATTTAATTCAAGCCTTTTGATCAGCTACTGTTTGCAATATTGGTTAAATTACCAAAAAAATATATATCTAGATGAGACTCGCATATAATAGCATTACTTTATTTTTTCGATAATAATTGACTTTGACTACACTATTGTAATGTGTCAAAACGGCCATCATCATAACGTCATTGCAAATCTATCTTACGATTTAAATCTTCGTAGAAAAGCACTACCGCGCCCTCGAATCTAAATCCCATTCTCTTTCCGCACAGATTCTAGATTCCCAATACAAGCCTTGGCAACGACAAGGCATTAATGGACTTACGTTTGTGTGCCTCGGCTTCGAGTCGGCCCTCATTTACACGTTCGTCCATCAATGCCTCTTTTGCTGCCCGCTGCAATAAGTAGATTACTGCAGCGGGCAGCACTTTGTCTATACTTAATTTACAAAGCTGAAGAGTTTGTTTGTTTGAACGCGTTTGATCTCAGGAACAAGGAAAGACTCGAACATTGCTTTGCTTTTCACTTTAGAATTAGCGCTCAAAACGCAAAATGTTAAAAAAATCAAAAAATAATAATTATTACTACATCATCACATCATTATCATCACCAGCTTATTAATGTCCCCACTAATGGGGCACAGGCCTTCCCTATGGATGGAATAGGGAGAGTGGGCCGTGGCCCACCACGCGGGCCTAGTGCGCATTGGTGGGTGCTAACGACTGCAGATGCAGCCGGGACCAACGGCTTAACGTTCCTTCCGAAGCACGGAGGAGCTCGAAATAACACGTTTTTGGTCACCCATCCAAAATACTGTAATAAAAAAATTACTTTATGAAACACAATTCAACCACAATAAACTACCATTGTAAATTACTGTAGTAAAAACATTCGTATTTACCACTCTTTTATGAAATAGGCCCCAGTTTATGCCTTTAATTCTAAATACATAACTCTTTTGTCTCCGCAGACGGGTATTACAACGTTTAAAATGGTGGCTTTCGGGATTTATACGGTGCGTTTCATTTTTAAACGTTTTAAACTGTTTTTTTTAAAACTATACCTACGACTAATAGACGCGGCGCACCAATGAAAATTTGATGCGAAAACGGGAAAAATATATTATTTTCAGAGCTTCCGTTGCATGCACTGCGTAAATGGTAAAAATCGTGTATGACGGTATTATTCCTTTTTAAAAGTTCTAATAAAGCATACATTTATCTTTTAAATTGAACCCACTATTACAGTCTGTGCGGAAAGAGAATGGGCGTGGCGAAAAACGGAACTAACATTAAGATTTTTATTTAGCAATCAAACCCAGCAATCTATAGCCAAAACGTCAAAGTTTTGTATTGATACGGATTTGTTTGTTGTTGTGATTTCTTGTGGTTTTTTTGCATTTAATCATGTCTAAAAGGGGTAAAACCTTACAAATACGGTAGAAAAGCACTACAGCGCCCTCCAATCTAAATCCCATTCTCTTTCCGCACAGACTCTACCTTGTTATAAAATAATACATTAATTACGAAGATGTTTTTTATACCTACATGATAATCAATCTTCATCTAAATAAAGACGTTATTCATCACAAGTATATATTTTTTAACAAAATTGCTCCTGACATTATTTTATTTCAATGAATATCTTAAGAGATATCATCGTTTAAAATTACTCCGTTATAAACTTCTTGTTTATATAATATAATATCTTTGGTTCGAGTACAACTCGCGCATTCATAATTATGAGGAAGGATGACGGGCGCGCCAGCCTAAAAAAATAGGATCAGACTTTATTCTTTGCAGGAATGGACCTCAGGTGCCTAGGTATTTGTTACTTTTTCCATTGCCAAAAAAGTATAAAACTCTTTTGTGTGTAAATAACCCCAAACAATCTTTTATTTAATGTTCCACATGAATTCACACCTAATATCGTTTACAAAGAGTACAGCCTGTATAGCCTAAAGAAAGCAGAGCTCTTCACTTCACCATAAAAATCATGTCACCTACCCTACCCACGTACGTACGACATATTGTTGTATTTTAACATCAACGAGAAAAAAGTTGCGGGCACAGCTAGTGTACTATTAACATCCATGACCTAGGTAGGTACAAATGCTCGTCTTCATCACACAAACATTTGCTCCACCGGGATTCGAACTCCGGATCTATGAGTAGGCGACACCTTGAAACCACCTCGAATTCCGTGGCTTGAATCGAGTGGTATGTACGCCGTACATACCACTCGAATTCGACGATTCCACGGAATTCGATCGATCGACGATCTCCATGGCTCGAGCGTAATCCTTTGAGCTTTCCTTGGTAAGCTCGATTTCGTATGGCCATAGCCACGTTGTCATAGAGAGATCGGTTAGTAGCGTCATCTGTTGACAATAACGCCTTGCTCGGTTTTGATTTTAAGGATATCGTTGTTTTAAGGATTTAAGATTTTGAAAACAAATGTAGATTAAATAACTGGGACACTTATGATTTTGTAGGTAGGTATTGTAAATAAAAAGGTCACCCTAATAGTAGGAATAGTAGGTAAGTAGGTACTTATAAAACATTTAAATTACATTAGGTAGGCTAGGTTTGAATCTAAAGAAAAAATTACAAGATTTTTTTTAAAAAAAAAAGCAAATTCTATTTTTCTAGTAATATTTTCTTTAGATTTAAACATCGAGCAGTTACATACTTAAAAAATAAAAATTATTAAAAATATACATATAAATAATGTTTGTATTATCCCACACGTGGCCGTGGGGCCGGTCTTTATATACTTCGATCACTCGGATCCAAACTTTATGCTCATTGTGATCTGCCGCCATCTTGAACGAAATACGTACGCTTCTTGTGACAGCTACCAACCGACTGATTGTAGGGACACGAAAAAAGTATCGATACTTTGTGGTATCGAGTACTTTTCCTTTCGATACCGATACTTTTGTACTCGATACTTTGTATTCGATACTTTTACTAAATGAGTACTTTTTGGCAAGTATCGATACCTTTAAAATTTTGGATAAGCGCCTCATATTGCTGGCAACGCCATCTTGTTAAATCATAGCAAACCTTCTAAAACGTTCCATAGGGTATTTGACAAGTTTTAGGTAACGATCTCACGTTATTGATTAATGTTTATGGAGTCCGTAAAAAATGGATATTCATCATTCTGTTGTGTATTTCAGTAAAAATAACCAAATCAAAAACTCCATTTTCAAGTTGCCGCGAAAACGTTTCTCTGGACAATATGGCGTCTTACTAGTGTGTGACGTCACACGACTGTTATTAAAACGTCAAACGATACAATGTAATGTCACTTTGACCGGAAGTTTACTTGCGTGTGACGTCATTTTAGGCTCAGCCAATCCCAAGCGTTTTGGGTTACGTGACAATAGATAAGAAAACTAATATCTTTTTCGTTATTTTGACACTTTATTTTTAATACTGTTATAAAGTCAGTAACTGACATATTAAAATTCTTTCCAATCTGTAACTGTGTTTATTTTGCGCTTTGTTTTGTTTCATAGTTATTTATTTAGCGGCCATATTGTTAGGAACTGTGCTTGATTCGCCGTTTATTGTGCTTTTCGCTTGACTGTATTTGATTTATTCAAGTGTAACACTATTATTCTGTCTGTGCTGTGTATACCTATTTGAAACCACCTGAAAAAAAGACGGACGTAACCTCTTCTATAATTATAATCTTGAGTGAAGCATGCCAATGGCCGCCGTTAACCACGTGTCAGATTCAAGTTAACATAAGTGGGTATAATGTTTTTTAATGATTAAAATTCAAGAAAAGTAAGTTTAATTTGAAACAAATCTGAAAAGTTTCATACTTTTAAATTGTTTAAGATTTCGATCTTTTTAATTAACATTTTTATTATAAATGTTATATTAATGAACACTTTTTTAGTGTCAGAAATCACAGCTATTTCCTTTTCATTATATAATATAGCAATTTGTGAATTTACATGTCCTTTTTCTGTTTTTGATTATACGTACTATAGTAAAATTTGATTGTTTTTCTTTCGATTTTTACACCTGGGAGGGGGGGGGGGAGGGTTGCTCATCAGGCCACAGAGGCTCCGATAAGGCCCTATGAAATGTACTCGATACTTTGAAGTATCGATACTTTTGTTTCGATACTTTTACGAGTACGATACTTTTTTACCGATACTACTCATGAGTACAGTATCGATACTTTCTATTCGATATCGTGTCCCTAACTGATTGAGAAATTGCCCTAGGGATATTCGATATACATCGAACATCGATACGATCCGATGTTTTGAAAAGCTTTCAATATACTCGATGCATCGATGTTTTAAAGAAACAACGAATTGGTAATAGAGTTTGACCACGTAGTGATAATATCCTCTTTGGTTTGACCTCAGTAAAAAAACTTAAGTTTGACCACTAAAATTTTACTTATTACTATTATGAAAGCATCATTATTCCTAGTTCTCTGATATGGACCCGATGTTGGCAGCACTGCGCAAGAGCAGTGACAATAAAAAATAACTACGAGTTTCTATGTTTATGAACATTTAAATAACCTTTAGATTTTAAATACTTTTTCTTTCTTTAGTTTTGTGAACGAAACTAAGATTGAAGTATATTTCTAATATTCTTTTCACAGACTTAGCAAAAATTTTGCGGGTTATTTAGCGTTTTTTTATATGATCTTTTGTAAAAATATAATACAGATTTTTCTGACACATGACTTTTACTTTTATTTACTTTTATGAAAGGAGTTACTTCTATTATTTTATGAAAGATTAATATATTAACTATAATAAAATTATGGATTAAGGTCTTTTCATAAACTTCAATTGTAATTTTTTTTGCTATGAAAAGATGGCCTCTTTTGAGGTGGGTCACTTTACACATAAGTTGAGTTTTGTAATAAAATTTCAGAAAAAGTACTCGATGTTTAAAATACATCGATGTTTTCATCCGATACATCGAATGAAATCGATGTATAGTTGCGATGTATCGAATCAAAATATACAGCGATGTTTTTTCAGAGTGGACACCCCTAAATTGCCCCAATCGCGCTACACACGCGGCAACGTGCCGAGCAGCAGGGACCAATCTAGAGACAAGGGTGGTTTCGCGCTCCTGCCGCCCTGCCGCAGGCCCGATTTAAAAAATGCCTCTGCTTGCCTACACACATCACAATTCTGGAGGCAATTAACAGTCATCCCCACTCTTAGGGTACGGCCAGAGTGCACTCAGATTCAGATCCCGAAAACAAGCGCGAGAAATAAACAGTGTAGCCGAAGGGTACGGCCAGAGTGCACTCCTGATTCAAATTCAGATTCAGACTCAGAAAACAAGCGCGAGAAAAAGCAGGCAACCTGCTTCGACTACACTGTTTATTTCTCGTGCTTGTTTTCAGAATCAGAATCTGAATCTGAGTGCACTCTGGCCGTACCCTTATACCCTAGATTGTCCCAGCGGCAGGCATGTCAGTAGGCCGCTTTAATTTATATAAAATCCTATTACTCAAGGTTACTTTATCAGATGGGAATTGTCTGTTGTCTATGGTTGAACAGCGTTGCACCGAAAAGTCTATTCATAATTATTTCAATTGATGTAATCAAATAGTGAATCGATTAAATAAATGGTTATGGGCTAAAAATGTCTCATTTTTTATCAGTAATCTAACATGCATAATAATAGGTTATATTTTTAATATGAAAACTAGCTGTCCCAGCGAATTTCGAACCGCCATAAAAAATAGGGGTTGGTGGTAGAAGGGTGAAAATTTTGAGTTGTATGTTTTTTTGTATGATGTATCATAAAAAAATAAAAACAAAAAAAATGTCCAAAAAAATTAAGTTGGACCATCCTTAACATTTAGAGGGATGAAAAATAGATGTTGTCCCATTCTCAAACCCTGCTGAATATGCATATAATATTTCACGAAAATCGGTCGAGCCGTTTCGGGGTAGTTCAATTACGCAGACCGTGACACGATAATTTTATATATTAGAGTAATACACATATCAACATTGGTATAATAAACGTTAAAGTTGACTACTATTGAACGAAGTAACTGAAGTGCATGCAGGACATTGATGATAATCCGAGCTTGTTAGCCGGATTGATATATTTAATGAATCAAGCATACCAATCGTTCAGAAAGAGTTTTACTTAGTAACGTAATTTAATAACTATATTGCCAAATACAGTTAACAGCCAGAGCTCTTTTTTGAGTAATGACGCTAATAAATTATTAATGCTACAAATTAAGGCTTATAGATCTTTAAAAATTTCTAAGAATATGATCTTTCAATTGATCAATTGTTTTCTAATAAGGCTCTAAGAATTCCCATCACTAAACTGTCTATGGACAGATTTACCTACCTCTTTGTTTAATTCGGTCTAAATTCGTTTGGAACAGACTATACATACATCCATACAAACACATTCTATTTTAAATAGAGATTAATAGTAATGAGGCATAGAGCACTCGTCTAATAGGCATCCGTTCACGAGCATGACGCAAGAACCAATCACAGCTTCGCTCAACTACATTTTAGGGAACTTATCGACACGTCTCACACGACCCCACTACAGAGATTTTATAAAAATAATGACATAATGGTGTCGATTCTAGCATGATTCTCTAAATCTAAACTTAAATTTGACAGCAGTATATCCTTGTCATTCTCTATACAGAATGAAAAGGAGAGACTGATGTTAAATTTAGTTTTAAGTTTAGAGAATCACGCCAGAATTGGCACCAATATGTTCTTACTTCTTATTAAACTGAAGTACCAAAAAAGGAACTATTAATAATTAATTATAAGCACCTAGACTTAAAGGACACTCATTTATATTATTATAATAATATACTTACTACACAAAATTTAATTGAAATCGGTACATACCTATGCCGTATGCTGGTTTAGAGAATCATGCCAAAAACATACATATTAGCGTACAGATACAAATATTTATTTTTATGGATATGTTTTAACAAGAAAAGCAGTATAATTAGTCTTAATTTTAGGGTAGGTGTTAACTTTTCTGCTCTTGGTTCCAATATAAGATGCATTTATTCCCAATTAATGCTACCAAGCATATTAATTCCGAAAGTGTAACTAATGAATGAAGACAGTGATTTTACTACGAAAGTAAATATGATATAACCAAGTAAATAGTTGACTTAACAATACCTACCTACCAACCCAGCTACTGCTCATTTCAAGGTAAGCCCTCATGTCTAGGACAAACACGCGACATTGCCCGGTCGTGCTAAGCTTTAGTAGGGCTTCTTCGTTCGTGTTACCGCAAATCGTTAAGTTACTATGCATGTCTATGAAAATTGATTAACAATAAGACATAAACTTCGTTGATCTTGAGTAGATAATATTTTGACCATAACGCAAAATATTCGAATACATCGATGAAAATCGTTAAGGTTATTCGATCCAGAATATTTAGTCCATAGATACAAGTTTATAATTTTTTTTATAATGTTTTTTTGAAAATCAAGGTAAACGTGCGATACATCTTCATATTCTGTAAATAAAATATTTGATAAAAAATGGTTGCCTGTAAAGTCGGTTTTACGGGCGAAGATTTTACGTGACAACGTCTTTTTCTCGGTAGAATATTTATTGATATGAATATAATTAAATTGCACAATAGGAACAAGGAATTGAATGAAAATAAGAATTGCACAAATTTTAACTATAGAAATATATTTTGTTTACTAAAACATTGTACATGTAAACTTAAACTTAACACGAGAGACTCATCGTAACGTTACCGAGCGTTACACTTTTTCATAAGTGACTCCCAGCCGCAACCTAATTTAAGACGTTGTCACGTCAAAAGTATAAATTTTTGCAAATAAAATTATAAAGTTACCTACAACTTACGATGTTTTAGTCTCCCAAAAAGTTGAGACAAACGAATGACAGACGATTGGCATGCATGACACGAACAAGTGACAGTTCGCTGTCATTAAATTCGATGAACATGGAAGTTAACGCTAATTTTCTTAATATTTATTGAATTATTGTACTCACTGGTATTTTTATTAAAATTTTAGTAGTTCTTATAAATTTACATTTATTTCTAGTTATCCATTTTTTATTTGCTAATACTCGTACAACGCACGCGCAGAACTTCCATCGCCCAAAATTTCCCAGCGCCATATTGAGAGGCGGACGTTGTATGACTTGAGTGATTAATCGTGGTTAGTGCAATAAATTGAAGTGGAACAGTTGATCGTGCCCTATGGATATACATTCGGGTACGTAAAAAGCTAAGAAATGTACCAACGGAGCGTCTTCTGCAGTGTAGTAAGCCTTGGCGAGTCACATCGTAACCTAGACATAGGCCGTTCTAGTTATCAGTAGATTACCTAGGTATCATCAATCCGCTGTTTGCTTACAGTTTTAATCTTATTAATACACACGTGTGGTGAATAGCCATAGGTTTCTTGAATCTAGTTACATTAACGAGATTATACGATCGCTTCGCAAGGTTCCACGGTCGTATATAAACGGATTCCGAAGTGTTTATGTCGGCAGTTGACAGAAGCGTTTATGTATATGACCGATCATAAGTCACCACACCCAGTGACCGCCGGATTGTCGGTTTTAGTATAAAATAGTTTCTAGTTCGGATGATTGTCCGCGCGTCGTCGCGTTGGTACGTGGTATAGTGTGAGATAGTGATATCGTGATGGACTTACCGTGAGATACGAGTGTAATAATAATGTAATTTCTAGGAGTGGTGTGCCTCGGTTGAAAGGCCTGCCGAAGGGACAGGGCTCCGCGCGTGAGGACGGATTGCGGCCCTCCGCTCTGAGGAATCATGGAGTGCTGCATGTCAGAAGAAGCCAAAGAACAGAAACGGATCAACCAAGAAATAGAGAGGCAACTCCGGAAGGACAAACGAGATGCCAGGAGAGAACTCAAACTTCTCCTACTTGGTGAGTATTTCTAAACTAGAGCATCTAAGAAATCTATAAATAACATTTAAAGATTGACTTTGATTAATATAACACAGACAAAAAAATCATTAATTATAACCTCAAAACTGTTCCAAAAGTGGGTAGGCTGAATGGAAATCTCAAAAAATATCTTACTTTAGTATTGCAGATGCTATCATGATGAATATATAACTTATTAATTATTTTTTTACATTATTATGAAAATCATCTTACCAATCAAGTATGGTTAACTTGAATAATTTCATGAACTTACACAGACACACACACACATACAGATTCTATTTTTATGGTTTATTTATGGTCAATTCAACATGTTGAATATAAATACTAAAGCCAAGTGAGAATTATATAATTATTAAAAATGTACAAGCATTCTCTTATGTTTGGGTTTTCTGATATTTTCTTAAATATCTAAATCATAAGATATTATCATATAGATTATGTTCAATAAACAAATAATTTAGTGCTGTCATTTTGTTAATATACCAATAAAAAACATTTTAGACAAGTACTTGCAAGTTCTCCAATATTATATATTTTCAACAATATTTAGGTCATATACAAAAATGTTTTTGTATCTATAGAAAATTGCATGATAGATGAAAGTGGTTAATAATGGATCCATTATTTTCTCCATACAACTCTGCCCAATTTTGTACCTGAAATATTATCATTCATGTGTAGAATAATATGCTGAATTCATCAAAAATATAAATGGAGTTTATTATCCACTCCTACCACATAAAAATGTTGTTTAAACATTTAAATTAATGGCAACAAAGATAATAGTGGACTGAAGATAGAGACCATGCGGAGTGAAGAGCCTTTATGCACAAAATGACGGAAAGAAGAGGTACAAGATTGGGCAAAAATCTAAGGTCTCCTATAATATGATTTCATACAAGCATGCAATTTTTCTCTTCTCATCTTTTCTATTCCAATAGGAAGTTATTTCGAATTGTATTGATCTTGTAGGGATTGCTCCACTTATTTCTTATTGTAATACTTAAATATATTTAGTTTTCATGCATACTAATTTTCTATAATATCTACAAGGATTTTAAAACTATGTTACTCTATGAGTGATTCCATGATAAGAAGTCATGTGCATGGCAATCATTATAAAATGCAATTAATTGCAGCATCCTATGTGTGTTATGAATAGTGTAATGATTATTTACCCAGTTAAAGAATGTTTTCCTGAAATTGCATATTTAAGTCTGAAAATGTCTACCCAGGTCCGTACCATTTTTTAGTTCAACATACAGGTACAGGTAGTTCATACCTTCTTTGTACCCAGTTCTTAATTTTAAGTGTATTATTTCCAAATTTAAACAAGCATACTTAAGCATTATAAAGGTAAAATGCAATCAAACTTGTTAATTCTTAATAAGTTTTGAAGTTAATTTTTGTCCCACTGTATTTGCATCTCTACCTGGCAAAGGACATGGCTAAGAAGCTGGCGAATAATCTGAGCTGTAATTAGTAAGTTTGAGAAACACAACAGTTCAGAATAGGTTTCATAAGGTGATTCTCCCCTAATGAGTTGTAAAATCCACTTAATTTGTTACCTTTTGCTGCCATACATTTAAAAATTGTGCTAGTTGCGGTGTGATATATTATCAGCTCAATATTGCCTTATAAAAGTTTAAAAGATTGGATTTTGATTTAAAATGTCACTCTCTTCATGTATTTCTCCTGGTAAGATAGCCAGCGTAGATACGCTCTGACCAGGGGAGATAATTTGGAACAAGATATGTATGCAAATCCATTCAGATATAGCTAACTTTTATCATCATGCTCAAGAAACATGAATAAATGAATATGATGAGAAAATAGGAGTATGATTTAAATAAATAAAAGAGATTTTTCTATTGATCTTTTAAATGTTGCTTTGTAAGTGATTGATTGATTTTATTAGTTTTTGGTTTTACCTTGCTGGAGTTTGATGAATTGTCAGATCTGATCATCATCATCTACGATTTGAATCCTTAATACCAGAGATCATTCTCCATTTAAAAGAGGTCTCTAGAGCACTTTTTAGCCTAAAGGTGTAAAGACCTTTTAACTAAGAAACTCTAGTTTTCGATTTAGGGAAAAATACAGAACAAAATTTATACTCTGATTATAACTAGCACATTTTTTTATAAAATTTGATTTTATTTAGTGTTTTACTATTTTTATGTCCCTACCCTGTTTGAGGTATCTACCCTGGCCATCTAAAAAGCATCAAAATATGGATAAAGTGACTTGCCCTTGCGTGAATGTGTACATTGAAGGGACTTAAAAAATACTTAAATATAATATACCTATGTGTTCAATCAATAAAAACCAACTGTTTCTCTCGGCTGCATCTTCTATAAACTTATACAAAATGAATTAAAAATCAAATATGTAGTTATATTTTATTTTTAAACATTTAACTGCTAGATGTTTGGAGCTAAAGAAATTTTTTTCTTGTTAAAATTTATCTTTAGAAATGAAATAATTTGTAGTATTTTTTTAATGAAGGGAGTATTATTTTAATGTTTTGTCATCATTTAAAATGTGTAAAATTTAGGTTCTGTAAATCAAGGTTAAATAGCATTATAGTTTGCTAGATCACACTATCAGTTTGAGCACTGAGAATTTTCATAGCGTCATGGAATAAATAAATAAATATTTCCGACACTCACACCGATTAGCCTACCCCCAAAGTAAGCACTATAAGGCTTGTGTTATGGGATGCTAGGGTAACGGATAGAATACATATACTGTACATATATAAGTATATTTACATAAATACATATTAAACATCAATGACTAGAGAACAAATGCTCGTATTCATCACACAAACATCTGCCCCCATCGGGATTCGAACCCGAGACCTCTCGAGTCGGCGACAGCCATGAAACCCGGCGTACAAACCACTCGGTCATGGAGGTCGTCAAATAGTTACAATAAAGTTTGATGGTGTAAATGCCTCTGCTAAGGATATAGGTTTGAAGGTTGAAGGCAATCAGTTGTATTGTATGATGAATATGGACATTAGTGCCTTGGTCATTATATAAATAACAAAAATAAAAAATATACTTATCTATGCATTAAAATTATTTTTTATCCTAGTTACTTATTATCCATAACATAATGCTTACTTTGTTGCTGTGCTAATTGTTGTGAGTGTAATATTTATATATATTTATTTATTATGATTAACAAAAATATTTCATCAGTTTATAACCAATGATATTTGTGGGTTTTAATGCTTCTAATAATATTTTGTTCTGTTGAATTCACTGAATATTATGTGCCAATGAGTATTTAAGACCACAAAAGAGAACAACCTTTTGGTACTAATCTTGTACAAACATAATTTTTGATATTATGTTAAACATTAAAAAATAATATAAGATAAAGAGTATTTTTTACCTTGTGGTGAAACCCAAAATATTAACGGAACGTAGCGTTTATCGTGTAAAGAATTATTACTACTATCGTCAATGGCTTCCGCAGCGTAAGCAATAGAAGGTAATTTTTTGGTATGTATTTCAAACCCTGGGTTACATTACCGATTTTTTCATACGGAACCCTAACTTTTCTGAAAATAATCTATCATCAGGGATAATGTAGGATTCTAAATGTGTAAGTTTTTTTTTAAATCGGTCTAGCAGTTTCGGAGCCCATTCAATACAAACAAACAATCAAATCTTTCCTCTTTATAGTATTAGTATAGATTTCTAAAATAAGAATCATCTTTTAATTTAATGTCCTCACTCACCTTGACAAAACCAGAAGAGAGAACAGGCCATAACCCATCATGTGAGCCCTAGCTGATTTTATTTTTGAAGAGATGTAGGTTATGCCTGTTTTTCTGCTGGAACCAATAGGGAGAACTTGAGAATAACCCTTTTTAGCTCAGATGCCTTAGCATAGCGCTGCGAAACCATATATGTAGTTATTATGGTATTAATACCAACTGGTTTTCTCAAATATGTTAAAACTGAAGTCATTCCCATTATAACTCATCTCGCAAATCTTTGTTTTGAAACAGGAATATTCCCAGATCCTTTAAAAAAGTCTATTATCACACCTGTGTATAAGGCTGGAGACAGAGACGACGTAAACAACTATAGACCCATATCTGTGCTACCAGTGATCTCCAAAATATTAGAAAAACTGTTGAACTCAAGACTGACTGGGTATTTAAACAAAAATAATATCATATCTCCATCCCAATATGGTTTTAGACAGGGCAAATCCACTGAGGATGCTGTTATTGCACTAAGCTCGCTGGTAGCTAAAGAAATGGATGAACATAACCGGTGTATTACTGTATTTCTGGACTTAAAGAAAGCGTTTGACACCGTCTCTGTCCCTATCCTTATACACAAGTTAGAAAAAATTGGTATAAGAGGAATGCCTTTAAAACTCTTTACAGACTATCTGACAAATAGGCAACAGGTAGTCAAGCTTGGTGTTTATACCAGTGAGAGTACGGAGGTGTGCTACGGAGTTCCGCAGGGCAGTGTCCTTGGCCCCACGCTTTTCTTAATTTATCTAAACGACCTGTGTAATATGACAATTAAGGGTGCCAAGGTATTTTGCTATGCGGATGACACTGCCATTGTTTTCGCTGGTAAATGCTGGGATGAAGTTAAGCTAGTTGCTGAAGCAGGATTGGTAAAAGTTGGGAAGTGGCTACAAAGCAATCTCCTTACTCTTAATATTGCCAAATGTAACTATGTATGCTTCAGCATCTACAATAACAGTCAGCCTGGTGTTGACTTTGAACTGAGGATTCATCGATGTTCCCCTACATCATCGGCGAATTGCCGCTGTCCCCTCATTCAAAAAGTAGCACAGGCTAAATACCTGGGAGTCCTACTTGATCAGCGGCTCTCTTGGTGTCCACAACTTGAATATGTAATTCAAAGAATTAGAAAGTTAATGTGGATTTTTAAGATCTTGAGACATGTTGTGCCAATATCAGAATTAGGATC